CCTGCCTCGGGCACTCGCTCACCGGACTTGCTGCCCTGTTTCCCTAGTATTGGGGTCCCTATCCCTTTAAGACTTCCAAAAAGTGCTCGCCAAAACAAAACAACAAAAAACAAGAAAAAAAGGTGGCTGCTTGCATTACTTTTGTTCTCCAGCGCTGGTCTCCGATACCCGCTCGCCGGTCTTGCTGCCCTGTTTCCCTAGTAGTGGGGTCCCTGTCCCTTTAAGACTTCCAAAAAGCACTCACCAGAAGAAAACAACAACAACAACAACAACAACAAAAAAAAGATGGCCGCTCGCTGTTCTTTTGTCCTCTGGCGTCGGCCTCCAGCACCCGCTCACCGTTCTTGCTGCCCTGTTTCCCTAGTATCCAGGGCCCTGCGCATGCACTGTGTTTGCGCTCTGGTCCGGATGGCTGGGGCTGGGTGTTCAGCAGTCCTGGGCTCCTTCTCCCTCCCGCTCAGACCTCTCTCCTCCTGCTGGGAGCTGGGGGGAGGGGCACTCGGGACCCGCCAGGCCGGGGTTTGTATCTTACCCCCTTTGTGAGGCGCTGGGTTCTCGCAGGTGTGGATGTGGTCTGGATGCTGTCCTGTGTCCTCTGGTCTTTATTCTAGGAAGAGTTGTCTTTATTATATTTTCATAGATATATGTGGTTTTGGGAGGAGATTGCCACTGCTCTACTCACACCGCCATCCTGGCACCGCCCCCTGAAAATATATTTTAAAGAGGGCAAGAGGTAGAGCTATATCAATATGAAGGTAGTTAGTCTGTAAGAGAAAGAATACTCAATGGGAGTGAGGAGACTTGAGTTCTATAACTGTCTTTCAGACCAGTCAGCTGTGCCATCTTGCATAAGTATTTCTTCTCCAGGTCCCAGTTTCCTCACATAAAAAAATAAGCAGATAATTATATAGAAGTCAAAAGATTTTTAAGCTCGGGTCTTCCATCTTGTCAACAGACTACTTGGTGTCCTGTGTAAAGCAGGTTCTAAGCCTGCCTGTGGTCTTGGAAAGGAAGTGGCTTAAATGACTACTGATACCTGACACAGATGCTGGAACGGAGGTGCTGCTACAGGGGCTCCCCTCTTTGTGTTCCTGCGCTACAGGATTTGTACATCACATTGAGTTCAGTTCATTTCAGCAATCATATACTGAGCATCTCTCTGTACCAGGCCCGCTGCCAGGCATTGGAGATATGAAAAAATGAATATTGTGTGGTCTCCACACAGCCTGTACAATTCACAGAAGCATAGCATTTTCAAGGGGGATGAGACCTTGGTGACTGTCGAGTGTAAATTCCTATTTTCTAGTCAAAGAAATAATTCTTAGCTTAATTAGAGTGGCATTTGGCCTCAGTACTGCTGTGATATCTTTATCTGGGATGTAACGGCACAGTATTTTTTTTTCCTCTAGATGTCCCTATCCAATACAGTAGCCACTAGGTGCATGTGGTTATTTAAATTTAAATGTAAACTAATTAAAATATAATAAAATTTAAGATTCAATTCCTCATGCATACTAACCACATTTTAAGTGCTCAATAGCCACACATGGCTGGTGGCTACACTATTTGTAAATGACAGCACAGACATAGAACATTTCTATCATTGCAGAAAGTTCTATGGGACAGCACTACACTCTAGAAAATGATTTCCACACAATTTCATTTAAAATCAGGATAGATGAAGGAAGGAAAGCTATAATCTAGCCTCAAGTTCTGAGATGCCCACAATTACTGATGAAAGGTATATAACTAAATAGGGTGACAGGCTTGTTCTAAAGGCACAAAACACTTTTAAAGCAGAAGTGTACTCTTTCAGCATTTAGAGTAGCTTTTTAAGGCCTCGAACCCGAGTGATTTCCAGCAGTGCTGTTCAGAACACTCTAGTAATCACATCATTCTCTCCGTGGTGCATAGGCCTTTGGATCCCTTTGTTAAAAAAGATAATACCCCCTCTCCTCCCCACAAAGCTTGCTTTATATTTTTCAATAATTATTAAGACATATATATACTCACAAAAAATAGGTGGTTTTCTTCCTCTGCCTACAAATTTTATTGTAGAATTAAAGGGACCTAAGGGAACCTGCAAAAGAGCTGATATTCCAGACCCCTAGATATACAACACCAATGCAAATGTAATGTAACTCACAGTGTTTTATCGCCTGTTAACATCTTTGCAAGTTAGGGGTGCCAGATGAAATACAGGACACCCAGTTCAACTGAAATGTCAGATAAACAATGAGTATTTGTTTCATATATGTATGTCCCATGCAATATTTGGAACATAATTATAATTCTAAGAAAGTGTTGTTTATATCTAAAATGTCAATTTAACTGTCTGTATTTATTTATTTAACGAAATCTGGCAACTCTACTCCAAGTTCACTTTCCCAGATTTTACCTTTGGAAATAAATTTGACACATGCAATACCCATTAAACAAAAACAAAAACCAAACCTGAGATGTGGTCCCAGGAACCCATAAAAAAAGCTTAAAATATTTTACCTGGAAGATATTCTTATCCCAGAGTTTGGCCTTCCTAGTTCCACCTTGTCATTCAGATCTCAACTTAAATGTCATTCCTTTAACAAGGCCTTCCTTGGCCACCCACTCTTCCATGGTTCCCCTGCCTCCTTGATCCCATTTTAATTTTATTTTCTAATGACACTTATCACTACTTGATGTGTGCTCATTTGTTTGTTTCTTTTTCCCCCATTATAGTGGAAACTCTTTGATAAGGGCTTTAATCTTATCTGTAATGTTCTTTATTATACCTAGAATGGTGCCAGATAAATACCCTAAGTATTTGCTCAATACATTTTTGTATCCTAAGGCAACATAGGGTATTGGTTCTAGAATATAGGCTTTGGAAGCAGGTTAAAATTCTGGCTGTGTGATTTTAGGCAAACACTGTGATTTCTCTAAGCCCAGTTTATTCATATGAAAATGTGGATAAAAATAGAAACAACTTCATAAGGTTTTGAGAATTAAATGAGTTAAGAGTCACCTGAGCACAGTGGTCAAGGTCTAGGGATAGGCAGGCACAAATTCACCCCTTACTACCAACACTCAGGAAAATACCCCTGCCTCAGTTTCCTTATCTGTTTTCTCTCTCTTACAACCTCACACAGTAGAAAAGAATATTAAAATGGTGTGATGCACATAAAGCACTCCTCACAGGGCCCAACACATGGTAACTATTCAATAAATACATTCAGTGAACAGCTTTGAAAATATAACACCTGCCCTTCTGATACAGGCTATGGATACACGTATAGTATGGTAGAAAGGAGAAAGCAAGTACCTGAAAGGCACTAAAACTACCTTTAAGAATAGAGTCAGAGAAACCTGGGTCCAAACCCAGTTGTGTCCTACCTGTTGATTTTGTGATCTGTAAGTGGTAATAACCGAAGCTGCCTTAGAGCAGTGCCTCATCCAATGAGATAATGTGTACACATTTCTCTCTAGCTCACCAAAGCGGCGAGCACAGTACCTGGCAAATATTCCTTAACTGACTAACACATGGTAAGGCACTTAGTCTGGTACACAGGCAGCACTCAACAAACGTTTGTTGTTGTTGTTTCTGGTATTACTACTATGGTTATTATTGTGGGAATTGGGAAGAGTAAAGGTGAAAAAATGACCATTTGTGGCTGACAGCCTGATGGGAAGCTGTACTCTTGGTCATAAAAATTCTTTCACAAGGACTCAGATTCAGAAAGACATTATTCATTAACCCAAATGATTTACTTTTATTACTCAACATCTTTTTTATTCTAAGCCTCTCTATGTTACAACTGACCAAACCACAGTGTAAATATGAGGATGGGAGCGACTATATTTTTTGAAAACCGACCAATACCAAGTTTCATTTATGACTAAAAAATGCAGTCACGGCTATCACTGTGGTATCTCATTTCCATTCTCTTACTCACTAGTCCTAGAATGAGGCCTAAGTAAGCATGGTGTTTCTGCACATATTTGGGTCTGAGCCCTCCTGACCTTTCTTTATCCAAGTAAAAATAAATATTAGTTCAAAAATCTATCATTTCCTTGGGAAAACACATTTTAACCATTAGGCCTTCAAGAGCTGCAAAAACCCAGTTCCTCTTCCCTAGGTCCTTAAGTATACTCTTGCTGATGTTTTCCCATTTCTTTCTTTTTCTTTGTTGTATCATCCCCCAGGCTGTCATGGTGTCTCTGCTGACAGATTACTCACCTCAGCTCCAGAAGCCCAAATTCTGATGCTGTGATGCTTGTCTTCAGTACCGGAATGAGTCAGTTTATGGGGGAAGGAGAAGAAAATCTAAGAAATAAGCAAACCCTGATACATGCTATAGGTGAATGCTACCATCTCACTTTGCTATTGTGAAACCTTCCTGAAACCCTTAATTTAAGGGCTGATGCACGGTAATACACAGCTTGACTTGGGTTAAGCTCTCTAATTCACAATTTCTGAGTTATGTTTGGGTATCATATTAATAATCATACACATTTGCTTCAACTAAACATAAAATACTGTGCTCATAATGCATAATGTCTAAGCCATTAAATGTAATCTATGCTTATTACCTTAATAAATTATCACCCACGCTAATTTATAAGTAAACATTTACCAGAGAGTCAGCTGCTGGTAGATCTGTGGGCTGTGTTCATATCCCCCAGGACCAACAAGGAAGCCAAATGATCTATCTTGCTGATGTAGTACAATTTTCAGGCAAGTGAGTTAGGCAGACATTCACTTATGGAGGAGGCAAATGATGACATTATTAGAAAACAGCTACCCCTGTACCCCAACAATGGATTTTTCCCCCCAGTCATTTGTGAGAAGGAAGGTCTTTCCAAAACGCACATCTCTTCTCTGTAATGAATACTTAATGTTACAAGCCTAGAGAAGCCTTTGTGAACAAGTGGTAAAACCATGGAAACCTAGTTTGCAATGTAAGATCCATTAGAGACTGACATTTTCATAGGTGCAAATTCTCCAGCAGAAGCAATTTCATTTTTTCATGTTTGTGCTTATTATGCATCTGCTCATACTACACACTGGATATTTCCATAAATTCACTACTTGACACATATTTGCCCATTTTTTCCTCCAATTTTTCTGCAGGATAATAAAAACTGCATTACTGGATTATTATAATGTAATTAAAGCTAGATGTCTTTTGTGGGTGGCCAAAATTTGTATTGTGGAATTATTATGATCTATTTTCACATTGTTTTAGTGAAAATGTTAAATTATGTAACTGGAACTTTAAAAGAAATAACATATTTTACAGAGGACAAAAAAAATGTAATGATCTTTACATTCCACTTCTAGTATTAGAAGAATGTTTCCAGGTTGGCTGATGGATATTCTTCAGCAGATAGTTATGACTTAAATGAGTGAGTAATAAGAGATGAATTACAAATTAGATTTTCAATAAAGATGCAATAAAGCATGTTTTGTAGAGGGGGAAAGGGCTCATAATATTACCGGAAAAAAATCAATTTTTCTAGTAAATATCAAAGGTGACTTTCATGTGTATTCTAATTTATTGGAAAAGGAAATTTAGCAGACTATCTTCTTTCAACAGAGAGTAGAGGAACGATTTAAGCAGAAGGTGCCATGTGGATTGTGGAGGCTCTCCCTCAAAGTGCCTACATACAAAAGACAATCCGGAGTGTCCTGCCACTTTCTAAACAGTCCTCCATGGTAATGAGCTCTTATTCTTTGCTGGTTATTCTTTGAACCAAATGGAAGATATAATTTTGTTCCTTCAATCAGGAAGAACTTGTAAACATTTCTTGACAGAACGTAGTCACTTTACTTCAAAGAGCCCCAAAGCTTTCTTTTTTATGTACACACAATTTAACATCCTTCTGAACCCAAACCTGTAGGAATTTCTTTGCTTCCTTCACTTTTCATCTTAAGGAGACATTATTTATATCATCAAGAATAAAGAAAACAGGGAAGGAAAATTTAGTCTTAATTTTTTCCAAAGCTATTTGTAGCTCCTGTTTCTTTTTTCTCTTTCCTCCCTGATTCCCCTTCCTATGTAACCACTGTAAGGACCTTTGCATCTCTGGTATACATAATCAATCCTACCCACTTAATTAATATAACTAGCCAAAGACTTCCTTTCTTCCAGGCTTTCTCCACTGTAACATTGGAAGTAGAAAACATGAAGTGATTACACTGCAATGATTTCAGTGTTCGAGAAGAATCATCAGTTGTTTTTTTTTTCAGTGATAAGTTTCCAAGAATGTTAGAAAAATAATTCAACATCAGATATTTCTAATGTATATTACACTAATCATTATAAAATCCCCAGGCAGAAAGATCTGCACAGATGAACTTGGCAATACCACATTAGACCTTCTATACAAGCAGGTGACCCTAGAACCTCAGTTAAAATGGCAGGGGCTCCTTGGTCTAATGCCAAACCTGCAAGGCAAGTCTTCTCATGTGATAAAAATGAAGGAAGAATATATGCAGAGAGCGTATGCAGAACACACTCTTTTTTGGGCGTTTTTTTGTCTTAGAAGCTCTATCAATGTTTGGATTATGGTGATGGCTGAGGAACGTCTTGAGACATGGCACCACTCAGCAATTTGGAAAACCAAAGCAAAATGGTAGTCTGTGTGTTTCCAGATGGGGTGAGACTCTGCTGGGGTGGGCCTGATAGAATGACAAGGGTTCTTATGAGAGAAAGGCAGGAGGTCAGAAGCCAGAGAAGAGAGTAGCCATGCTGCCGGCTTTGAAGAGGGAGGAAGGGAGCCATGAGCCCAAGGCTAATGGCAGCCTCTGGAGACGAGAAAGGGCAAGAAATTGGTAGGATTGATTCTTTTGACAAATATGAAAGGTCATATCAAAGAATGGAAAACCAGTCAAATCACAATGATCAGACTCCTACAGCCAGGAACACCATATACTGATGTACAAATTGTGTTCTGTGCAAAGGTTTCAGGTGAAAGGTGTGATGAGGGGTTGAAGCCTGGTCTGCACTTCAGTTCCTCGTTGTGTACCCTCTTGTAGGCGTTATAGCCAAGAGGAAGGAGTGACATTTTTTTCACAAGTTGTCCACCCAGAGAGGACATTTTTCAGAATGTCATAAGCCTGAAGAAGTGCTTTCTTTGGTCACACAAAGGGCCAGGATCTGGTAGGGATTGGCACTACCATCAACTATTCACATCAGGAATCTTTTTCAATACCACCTTGTACTTGATTAAAATGAGACACGTAGGGACACTTCAGTGATGGTTTTGGTGTCTTGCCTCAGTTTCTGCCACAATTTCATTAAGGCTCCATAATGGGAACAGTAGTGTCTGACCAACTTTGTCACTAGCAAATACATGACACCAATCACTGAAGTAGAAATTTGAGGTCAACTCTTCAGTCCTTTAATATTTTAAAGAAATTCATCCCTAATAATTGTCCAGAAAATTTAATATCAATTATTGATGAAAGAATCTTGGTCAGAGCAAATGGAAGCAAAATCCCAGACATGGACTAAATTTTTTCACAGTTTTAATAGTGCCTGTCTTATATCAATGATACCAGACTTAGTTTCTAATCTTTATTTATTTATTTATACTGTGAAACTCATTCCCAGAGGAAATGCAAGCACAATTGCCTTCTGGAGCAAAATCATTAGGCAAATGAATTTTTAAACTGGAATGAGGTGCACAAATAATCCAGACTATCCCTTCAGTTTGCAAAAGAAGAAAATAGGAAATAAGAAAATGTTCATAGGCTAGACATATATACAATAGGCAGAGATAATGCATGTGTTCAGTGCCCCTCTGCATGCTATCTGGGATCCTGCAAATGTAGCCGCTTGATTTGATTTACCTCACAGGCTGAGTTGGGGATAGGAAGCTGGCTGGTCCAGGACTCTGGTTCTGTGCAGCCATAGGCCAGAGAGGAGAGTTCACAGAGGAGGCAGGGATGGGTACAGACATCCAGAGACATGAGCAGAGATCCAAAAAACATCCACATAACAGGTGATGGTGGTGCCCTGTCCAGATCCTTTTACCTGGGTTTGCCAAGCCCTCAGCTGGGTTGGCTGCTAATGGCTCATAGCTGCCCTCTTTTCTGAAGAGCTGCTCTCATCCACCAGGAACCACTTAGCACAGGACGTTACATTCTGGCTCCCATCTCACAACCAGCAGTCCACAGTCAATGAATGACTGAGAGAGGTGTACAAAGACTTGCTCCCTTCCTTCTAGGCAAGACAACTCTGTGGTGAAATTCATGCTCCAGAGCTCCGCATGGGATCAGGCTGAAGCTGGTGTCAGAGACCACATCTTTGGTTAGCTTCCCCTACTGCTTAACCTGCTTCCCCTTCTTCTGAGAGTGCTTCCTCAATAAATCATTTGCACAAGAATGTCCATTTCAGGCTCTACCTTTAGGGACTCTGATCTGGTATGATCCATGAATAAGATGTTTCAGAGGTCTGTATTGTACTGTTCATCCTTCAGGCACCAAGGAAGAGTAGAGAATTAAGGAGCCATTAGACAAATGCTGAAGAGCTCATGCCTAATAAGCAAAAAGTTTCCAGTTACCAGGGTCAACCTTTCTTAAAAGGAAGTAGAACTTTAAATGTAACAAATATTATTTTCCAGTCACAAGTTCAAATTCATAACAAGGTCTCTATCAGCTGCACAGAATAGGAGACTAATTTGCTTTCTCCAGAGAAGAGTAGATATGAGTTAGCTGGCATGATATTTCTGATTTTAGTTGTGTTGTTTTAGTACCTTTAGACAGGCAAACCTGGCGGCTGCTTAGTGGGCCTGCCCTTCTCATTGCCTTCCGGCTTCCTCCAAAGCTTCTTATTCAGCTGGTCTAGGTTGGAACCTGAGAATCTGCATTTTAAACAAGTGCCATGGGATGCTGATACTGCTGGTCCAAAGACCACACTTTGAGAATCATTAGTCTGAGGCAGTTCTAAAGACTTATTTGAGGTGTGTTCGTCTCCACATCCCTAAAGCACCACCTTAAGGCATTTGGCCAATCCAGATCCTCTTAATTAATCTGTCTTTGGACCCACTGAGGTGTGTGTTTCATCCCTATTCTGCTATCTAACAGCTATTGAACCCTGCTCTCCTTATCTCTACAATGGGAACAATAACACCCATCTCATAATGTTGTTGGGAGAATTAAATGAAATAACATATATAAGATCATTTGCTTAGAGCAAGTGCTCAGTAAATATTAACCCTTTTTTATTTGATCAATTGTTTCCAATGCTTTATATGTTTTTTCTTTGGATCGTTGTAACAACATTCTATCCTGTCATCATAAATATATTGAGTAAAATACTTGGTGTGCAAGAAAAGTGCAAGGAATGAGCTTGTCTTCTGAAGTTTGCCAAGAGCCCAGCTGCTGCGTGCTTTAGGTGAGTCATCTCTCTCCACCAGCTGGTTTGTGAATGTGCTGCCCAGGTGAGCCATCTGGCACTTTGCCAAACCAAACCACGGAAGTCAACAAGTCCAAAAATCTAACCAAGGTGACTAAATGCTTTGCTTAGGAAAGCATGGTGGGAATTCCCATTTATATGAAATAAATCAGAGGCATCTGGCAATTGGTGGACTTGGGGTCTTGCTGATAAAAGGAGAAAGAGATTAGGAAGAACTCATCAGGATTTATTCATCTCTGTCTGAGGCTACAACTGCTCAAATGAAGGTTTCAAACTATTCTTAAGGCAGCAACTTTCAAATGTTTTGGTCTCAGGACCTCTTTATATTCTCATAAACTATAAGATATCAAAGAGCTTTTGTCTATGTAGGATATATGTATCAGTATATAACAGTAAAAATTGAAACAAATTTGAGAAATACTTATTGATTCATTTAAAAATAACAATAGTAAACCCCTTACAGGTTAACATGAATAATATATTTTTATGAAAAAAACTATTATTTTTTAAAACAAATAAAGTTAATGAATAGAAGGGCTGACATTGTTTTATATTTTTGCACATATCTTTGAGGTCTACCTTAATAGAAGACAGCTGAATTCTCATATCTGCTTCTGCATTCCATCTGTGGCACATTGTTGGTTTGAAGCATAGGAAGAATATTTGGTCTCACAGAGATAAGTAGTTGAAAAGGGAAGGCTATTTTAATAGATTTCAAGTAATCATGGATATTATTTGATGTTACATTGAAAATTCACAAGTGATAGCTCCTTAAAGATTAGTTGCGATTTGGAATCTGAACCCCATCAATGAACTTTACACACTTATATTAGACATGCCTGTCTTACACTTTGGATAGATATTTTACCCATGTGTGATTCCACATTGGTCATTTGGAAACTATTAGCTCATGGAATTATGCAGGTCTTCCAAATTATGGTACATTACATAAAAATTTTTAAATTACATTTCTTAATATCACCATTGCTATGCCTGAATGTTTGTGTTCTCCCAAAATTCATATAATGGACTGCTAACCCCCAAAGATTATGGTATTAGTAGGAGGGCCTTTGGAAGGTGATTAGGGCATGAGGGTGGAGCCCTCATGAATGGGATTAGTGCCCTTATACCCCACAGAGCTCTATAATCTCTTCTACCATGCAGTGAGAAGGCACCAGCTATGAATCAGGTTGTGTTCCTCACCAGACACAACCACACTGGCATCTTGATACTGGACTTCCCAACCTCCAGGACTGTGAGAAGTAACTGTCTGCTGTCGATAAGCCACCCAGTCTGTTGTATTTTGTTATGGCAGCACAGATGGACTAAGGCAGCTACCTATCACTTTAGAATAATATTTAAGTATTGCAAAACAGATACAAATTTTACACAATTCTAATTTTCTCTTGAAAGCTCAACTTTTATCTTTGGCAACAAATAGTGTCATCTACTTCCCTTGAAGTGACAGGTTCACCTCTTTCATTTTTAAGATGTCTGCAAAAACCCAAGTCCTAATGCACAGTTTGCCAATGTTATTTTTTTTTCCTTTTGGTCAATTAAAACTGGTGTACCATGCAAGAGGCAGCTAGTTCAACATACAGCTCAAAGAATTGCATAAGTGCTTTTCTTCAAGACAGTCATCATATTTCATTATGCAAGAGAAAGGCTTAAATACCTACTTCTCATGTTATGACACAATATTAAAGAGATGTGTATTCAAGGGTTGAAATTTAATATTAATGACTTTTACTGCTTCATCAATGACATTCACAAGTGAGTCTGGCTTTTAAAAAAATTGCTTGTATGCTACAGTGAAGAATAAAATAAATTCTGGTTCTATGCTTTGCTTTTGTGCTAAGGTGTCAGCGGTTTTACTTACCATTCCTTTTGTATCATCCACTGATGCTGCTGATCCAGGGACCACCCCTTGTGAAGCAAGGTCCTATACTGCCTTCTGGGATCCGAGGCAGGCCAAGTGAGAACTCTGGAACACCCATTCCTGATTAAACCAGAACAGCTACTTACTCGGATTTTATCTGTACTATTTAGTAGCATTCCTCAAAAAGTTTTATTTTCTGATGGAAAATAAAAAGTTTATGACTCACTTCTATAAAGCAAGTCTTGTCTTGGCTGCATGAACTATGGATAAAATCTACATTGAAATCTTGTTTTATTGATCCTACACATACCAAGACCTCTATTGTTTTGAGCCCCAGCTTTGTGCCAGGAACTTGTCAGGCACTGGGATTTCAAGAAAGACATGACCCCTGCCCTAATGGTACTTACACTCTAGTAGGGAGGGCAGACAACCGCATGTAAATAGATAGTGTGCTAAGCTGTAAGGGAAACAAATAAGATCCTCTAGTAGAGAATAAAGGGATGAAAGGAAGAGTACACATTTAGATCAGTAGTTCTCAAACTTCCGGGAGGATCAGATCCACCTGGAGAGCTAATAAAAAACCTGGAGTCGCTGGCTTATTGAAGTAGACAGGTACTGGGCCTCTATAGTTTTACCAAGTGATTTTCCAGGATTTGAGTAATGCCGCTTTAAATACAGGTGCCCAGAGAAAACCTCTCGGAGAAGGACACTGAGCCCTGACTGATGAGAATCATGGCGTGACCCAGGTTTTTCACGGGATTTGGGTCAAATTTGTCTGAGGTGATGGCAATTTTTCTACAACTGTAGGTTAAGCTGTAGGACTGGAAAGTTCATTTACTGCTTAAGGGAGCCCATTCCGTTTCTTATTACAAAAATATGTTATCATTTAAATGAGCAGCTAACTACAAGTTTCTATAACAAACATATTTTATAGGCAAAAGTGGTTGTTACACTTAGACATTTGGTATCTATAAGCCTTGTCATAGAACATCTCTTTGAAGAACTTATCCTATCAACAAGCAACAGAGCACATATCTTTTTCCATAAAAACGTATGCCCCTACTAGCTATATTTCCAACACTGTCTTTTTATGTGGTCACTGGAATGTAAATGTCCTCTGACTTCTTTTTTTTTCATTTGATTCACATATTTACTGCAAAATTATTACCACAATAACTTTAACACATCCATCACCTCACATAATTACCATTTTTGTGGGTGTGATGAGAACATTTAAGATCTACTCTCTTAAAGTATATAATATACTAAATATGGTCACCGTGCTGTACCACACATCCCCAGAACTTATTCATCTTGTAATTGGAAGTCTGTAACTTTTGACCCATACCACACCATTTCTCCCCCTGCCCCCAGCCCCTGACAACCACCATTCTACTTTTTTTTATTTTGGTATCATTAATCTGCAATTACATGAGGAACATTATGTTTACTAGACTCCCCCCTTCACCAAGTCCCCCCACATACCCCATTAGTCACTGTCCATCAGCGTAGTGAGATGCTGTAAAATCACTACTTGTCTTCTCTGTGTTGTACAGCCCTCCCCGTGCCTTCTTTTTATGGCTGAATAATATTCCATCATATATATACTTTATCCACTCATCCATTATTTCCATAGGTTGGCAATTGTGAAAAATGCTGCAGTGAACATGGCAGTGCAAAATATCTCTTTGGGATCTTGTTTCCATTTCCTTTTGAGATATATCCAGAAATGGGATTGCTGGATCATATGGCAATTCTACTTTAATTTTTTGAGGAAACCCCATGCTATTTCCTTTTTTTTATTGAAGTATTATTGATATATGATCCTATATTGGTTCAAATGTACAGCACAGTGGTTCAACAGTTACCCATATTATCAAATCCTCATCCCCTCTAGTGTGGTTACTATCTATCAACATAGATGTTACAGAATCATTGACTCTGTTCTCCATGCTGTACTACCATCCCTGTGACCAACTTATATCACGATGGAGAATTTTTGTGCCCCTTTATCCTCCTCACCTGCACCCCCCTCCACTTGCCCTTACCCCTGCCCCTTGGTAACCACTAGTCACTTCTCAGTGTCTATGAGTCTACTGCTGCTTTGTTCCTTCTGTTTTGCTTCATTTTTATAGTCTACAAATAAGTGAAATCATATAGTATTTGAATTTCTCCACTTGGCTTATTTCACTGAGCATAATACCCTCTAGATCTATCTATGTTGTTGCAAATTTCTTTTCTTTCTATGGCTGAGTAATATTCCGTTGTGTATATGTACCACCTGTTCTTTATCCATTCATCTATTGATGGACACTTACGTTGCTTCCATATCTTGGTTGTTGCAAATAGTGTGGTGATAAACAGGGGTGAATATATCTTTTAGAATCAGGGATATTGTTTTCTTCAGGTAAATGCATAGGAGTGGAATTAATGAGTCTAATGGTATTTCTATTTTTAGTGTATTGAGGAACCTCTATACTGCTTTCCACAGCGGTTGCACCAATTTACATTCCCAACAACAGTGTAGGAGGGTTCCCATTTCTCTGCATCCTCACCAACATTTGATGTTTCTTGTCTTTTGGGTAGTGTAGCCATTTGAACTTGTGTGAGGTGATGTCTCACTGTGGTCTTTATTTGCATTTCCCTGATGATTATCAAAGTGGAGCATCTTTTCTTGGGCCTGTTAGCCATTTGCATTTATTCTTTGGAGAAGTGTCTGTTCAGGACCTCCACCCTTTTTTGGATGTTGAAGCATATGAGTTCTTTATATATTTTGGATGTTAGCCTCTTATCAGATGAGCCATTTACAAAAATATTCTCTCATTCTTAGGATGCCTTTGTGTTCTGCTAACAGTGCCCTTTACTGTACAGAAGGTTTTTAGTTTGATGTACTCCCACTTGTTCATTTTTCATTTTGTTCTCCTGGCCTGAGGGGATGAGGCTAGGAAAATATTGCTCATACTTATGCTCAAGAGATGTTTGCTTATGTTTTCTTCTAAAAGTTTTATGGTTTCATGTCTTACATTTAGGTCTTTGATCCATTTTCAGTTTACTTTTGTGTATGGAGTTAGACAATAATCCAGCTTCAGTATCTTACATGTAGTTGTCCAGTTTTCCAAATAGCAGTTGTTGAAGAGGCTGTCTTTTCCCCATTGATATTCATGGCTCCTTTATCATATCTTAATTGACCATATATGTGTGGGTTTATATCTGGGCTCTCCTATTCTGTTCCATTGATCTCTGAGTGTCTTCTTGTGCCAGCACCAAACTGTTTTGATCACTGTAGCTTTGTAGTAGAGCTTGAAGTTAGGGAGGATAATCCCTCCAGCTTTGTTAATCCTTCTCAGGATTGCTTTGGCTATTTGGGGTCTTTTGTGGTTCCATATGAATTTTAGAACTATTTGCTCCAGTTCATTGAAAAATTCTGTTGGTATTTTGATAGGGATTATATTGAATCTGTAAGTTGCTTTGGACAGGATGGTCATTTTGACAATATTAATTCTTCCTATCCATGAGCACAGGACAGTTTTCCATTTATTGGTATCTTTTTAAATTTCTCACATGAGTGTGGTTTTCAGAGTATAGGTCTTTCACCTCCTTGGTTAGGTTTATTCCTAGGTATTTTATTCTTTTTGATGCAATTGTAAGTGGAATTTTTTCCCTTATTTCTCTTTCTGCTAGTTCATCGTTAGTATATCAGAATGCAACAGATTTCTGTGTATTCATTTTGTATCCTGCAACTTTGTTGAATTCAGTTATTAGTTCTAATAGTTGTTGGTGGATTCTTTAAGGTTTTCTATATATAATATCATATCATCTGCAAACAGTGACTGTTTAACTTCTTACCAATCTGAATGCTTTTGATCTCTTTGTTTTCTCTGATTGAAATGGCTAGAACCTCCAGTACTATGTTGAATAAAAGTGGTGAGAGTGGATATCCTTGTCTTGTTCCTGATCTTGAGGAAAAGCTTTCAGCTTTTCGCTATTAAGTATGATGTTGGCTATGGGTTTGTCTTATGTGACCTTTATTATGTTGAGGTATGTAACTTCTACAAACATTTTGTGGAGAGTTTTTATCTTGAATGGATGTTGAATTTTGTCCAATGCTTTCTCAGCATCTATTGAGATGATCATGTGGTTTTTTATTCTTCTTTTTGTTGATGTGGTTATGATATTGATTGATTTATGAATATTGTGCCATCCTTGTACCCCTGGAATAAATCCCCCTTGGTCATGATGGATGATCTTTTTGATGTATTTTTTAATTCAATTTGCTAATATTTTTTGAGGATGTTTGCATCTATGTTTATCAGAGATATTGGTCTATAATTTTCTTTTTTGTGGTGTCTTTATCTGATTTTGGTATTAGAGTGATATAGACCTCATAGAATGAGTTTGGAAGTAATTCCTCCTCTACTTTTTGGAATACTTTAAGAAGGATGGTATTAGCTCTTCTTTAAATGTCTGGTAGAATTCTTCTGTGAAGCCATCTAGACATGGATTGTTGTTGTTTGGGAGTTTTTGGTTACCAATGTGATTTAATTGCTAGTAATTGGTCTGTTCAGATTTTCTGTTTCTTCCTGGGTCAGTCTTAGAGGGTTGCATTTTTCTTGGAAGCTGTCCATTTCTTCTAGGTTGTCTAATTTAGTGGCATATAATTTGTCATAGTATTTTCTAATAATTCTTTGTGTTTCTGTGGTATCTGTTGTGATTATTCCTTCTTTGTTTCTGATTTTGTACACTCTTTCTTTCATGATAAGTCTGGCTGGGGGTTTATCTATTTTATTTTCTCAAAGAACCAGCTCCTGGTTTCATTGATTTTTTTCTACTGTTTTATTCATTTCTGCTCTGATCTTTATTATGCCCCTCCTTCTACTAATTTTGAGATTTATTTGTTCACCTTTTTCTAATTTCATTAATTGTGAGTTTAGAGTGTTTGGAATTGTTGTTTCTTGAGGTAAGCCTGTATTGCTATATATTTCCCTCTTAGAAGTTCCTTCATAGTGTTCCAGGAGATCTCAGGGCTGGCTAGATCAGATCTCCAGGGCCAGGTGTTCAGTGATCCTGGGCTCTTACGACCTCCAGGCTCCATTCATCTTTCTCCCACTTGTAGACTGTGGTGGGGGGAGGGCTTGGGTCCTGCTCAGTCATGACTCTACCACTTTACCCTTTTCTGTGAGGTCTTCTCTTTTTCCTCAGGTGTAGGTGGTCTGTTCTACCATGTTCATGTG